GGTCCTAGTTGAGTTGTGTTGGGCTGTTGCTTAACTTATCCTATTGTCTTTGGGATTAAGATTAACATTAAAGTCTCCTGCTATAATGTTTATATTGTTTTTTTTGATTTGAGGTTTTCAGTCATTAAAAAAGATTATTCTGTCACTAATGTTTGGTGGTGCATAGATATTTGTTGTTTTAAAGGAGTATCCTTTAAATACAAAGTCTGTTGTTATTATTCTTTCTTTATGGCTTATCTGAATGTTTTTAAATTCAATGTCTTTGCTTCCTGCTAGAATTGCTGTTTTTTTAGTCCAGATTGAATCATAAATCCATTGTTGTTTGAGAAATTCTTGTGTTTTTTCATTATTAAGGTTAGTTTTCTGAAGCATTATTATATCTAGTTTGTATGATTTTAAGAGAGTTAGTGAGTTTTGTTGTTTTTCTTTGTCATTAAGTCCTTTTATATTTAGTGTTGCTATTATTAATTTGGTTTTTTAAGTTATAAATTATATGAGGTTGTTGAATCTCTTGAATTGGGAGTGGCTTGCTTCTCTATGAGTTTTTTTGTATGAAGATAATCTTGTTTTATCTTTCTTAGATGTTCTGTTTCCTTTCTTGGTTTTTTTGTTAATGACTATGATAAAGCCATCTGTTTCTTCATTTTTGTTAGAAGAAGAAGCTGCTTTGGGGATGTGACTTGCAGATAGATGTAGTGTTCTATAGCTATAAATGGCAAGTTCATCTCTTAGTAGTATTTCTATATCTGGTAAGAGATTTTCTTGGGTTGTCACTTGCATTTGTTCATCTAAGCTATTATTTATTGTAGCTAATTCTGCTGAAACTGAAAGCTGAAGGTTTTGCTAATAGCTAGGATCATTATCTTTTGTATAATTTTGTTCTTGCTGCTTAGAGTTTGCTAGTAATAGAGGTTCTTTATTACTCTGTTTGATACTTTCTGAAGTCTTATTTAATTCCTGAAAGTCATTTGAGAGTTTTCTATTATGTTTGTCTTCTTTGTATTGTTGATAGCTAATTCGTAGATTTACTAAGTCCTAAAATTGTTTGTATTCTTTTTTAATATGGCCTTCTTTTTTACAGAAATAGCATATCTTAAATGCTGATTTCTATTCTGTTGTGACCTTATTGTCTTACATATATGTGAAACAAGGTATTTTGCTTTCTAGGTTAGGATTATCTGAGTTCTTAAAGATTATAATTCATTGGTCTGTAAGGTAAGGTGTTTCTTCGATTAGTAGGAGCTTGATTAATGTAATTCTGCCCACAAACTCAAAGGATTTTTTTATAGCATTTGATATTGCTTTTTTGTTATCTAGTGGAACATTTCTGATCTTAACTGGAAGAAATAATTTTATTGAATCTGTAAAAATAAAGCCGAAATAGGTTCTACTGAAAATATTAATACCTTTGATAACATAGTGTTTTAATTTGTCTTTGTTTTTGAACACAATTTCCAAATATGTGTATGTCCCTTTCATAAAGTATTATTTTGCTGCTATAACATCCTTTTTAAGGTTCTTGAATAATGAGGCCATAATTTCATTGAAAGAGCTGTGCATGCCTTGGATGTCTATTATTAGAGCATTTTCATTTTTTGATCTAATTTGGCTTTTGGGCATGAAGGAGGAGTAGATAGACTGACCTCTTCTTAATTTTGGAAAAAGACTAGACTACTGTTTAGTTAGTGTCTCTTTTGGATCTTTTTGTCTGTCATTGTCTTTTTGTAAGTCATTGTAAGGGTTAGTTTTATATGCTTTGCTTAACAAACTGCTACTTTGCTCCTGTTTTGTTGTATTTTCAGTTTTCTCTAAGTTGTCTAATATTACCTATTCTTCAGATATGTTGTTTGTTATTATATTTATAGTATCTTTAATGTGTTATTCTTGTTTACTTTTTGGTCTTAAGTAGCTTTTGTTTTTTCTATTTCTAGTTCAACTTGTTTGTTTCAGCTTGTTGAGTTTTCACTAGAGATTTTTTTTAGTACCTGCTTTTCTTTTTGTTTATATTTAGTAGTTTCTTCTATGTTAGTCATCAAGCTTAAAGAGCTTGACACATTTTCTTTATTTTTCTTTACTTTTTTTTGCCACTTGTTGATGTCATTTTTTTTGTTGTTGTTATGCTTTTTGTGTATTGAAATTCTATAAAGGATCTTTTTCTTGGAACAAGGGCAAGAGTCCTTGTTTTAGTAAATACTTTAGTCAGTTTTGTCTTGTTGTTTGCTCTTATTTTAATAAAAAGGTTACTCTACTCCAAAACTCGTATGTTCGGGAGAGAATGTATGCAGATCATTTTTTGATTATTATAATTTGTAGTATTTTAAGATTATTTCTATAATTCTTAAAATTTTTAATTATATTTACATATTTTTGCTTATTTTTGAATATCTTTGCAATTTTTCATTATATTTTAAAATTATTTACTGATATTTTTAATATTTAATTTAGATTTATCTGATGAAAATCAAAATACTGAAGAGAAATTGTAAAACTTTTTATTTGTTTTTAATATTTTCTAATAAACTTTCTTTTTTTTAGTTATATTTAAATAAATCAGAATACAGAAATTTAACATTTAAATAAAACATTTTTGTTTTTTTGTTTTATTTACTAATACATCTTTAATTATTTTACAAATATTTGAAACTTTTTGAATTATTTTTTTTTTTATCTTTTTTTATTTTTTATTTGTATTTAATATATCATAAATAAAGTTGATGCAGATTAAAAATAATTAAATTTGCTTAGTTAATGATCAAATAAAAAAAGTAATTAAATATATTAAAATATATAAATAGCAAAATTTTAAATAAAATAAATTTATCAATAAAAATTATTTCATAATTTTCGAAATATTTCAAAATTATTTTAAAATTTTTTAATTATTTTGAAAATTTTTTGAATTTTTCAAAATATTTTGAAATTATTCCAATATTTTTAAAATATTTCAAATTTTTCTAAATATTTCTAATTATTTTTAAATTTTATTTTTATTTTTTTAGTTTTGTTATTTTTTAAAATTTTGTAAAAGAGCTGAAATTATTTCAAAATTATTTTATTTCTTTTGCAATATTGTGAAATTATTTTATTTTGAAATAATTTTACATCAATCACAGTTATTTTAAAAAATTTTTGGTATATAAAATCTTTTGCAATATTTTATATATTTATTTTACTAATGTAGTAGAAGATGATAAAAAAGATATTAGAAAGGTAGATATCAAGTTTGAATAAACTTTACAAAAGTAAAAATAATATAATATAATGATTTAAAGTTAATCTTAATTGTAAGTATTAAATACCTATTTCTTAATTTGTAAGATTTTTTAGACAAATTTATTTGAAAAATTGTTAATATGTTTATAATATACTTTTTTTAAATTTTAAAATATTTAAATAAAATTTTATTTGATAATATTTGAAAATAAAGATTATATTATAGCAGTATTTAATTTTATATTATAAAAAAAAAAATATATATTACTTATAAGCTAAAAATAAACAAATTTAAAAAAAGTTTTAATCAAAAAAAATTTTTTTATAAATTTTTGGTAAACTCTTTAAATATTAATTTTAAGCTTATAATTCTTAATATAATATTTTAGTTATATAAAGAATGCTAATTTTTATTAGTAACAATTTTGCAATTTATTTATAAAAATTTAGATTTATACAAAGTATAAAATTTTTTTAGTTTTAGAAATATATGAAATTTTAAAAAATCTTAGAAAATTTTTAATACTAAAAAATTTTAAATCTAATTTTTAAAATTTAATACATAAAAGTTTAATAATATTTTGAAAACTTTTTCATAATAAAATTTATAAAATATGTTTTTAAGAATATATTTTATAAGCAAACTATATTCTATATCATTAATAAATTATTATTTTATTTAAAAAATATTAAATACAATTTAATTTTCTAGACAAATTTGTCTAAAAAACAGTTTAAAGAATAATGTATTATATAAAACTAGATTAGCTATATATAAAACATAAAAGATTCTAGTAATAATACTTTTAAGAATATATTATATAAAACAAAATATAGAACTTTAAATATTTAAATCTTTTTGACTAATATATATAATAAAGATGATCTAGTAATACAGTAATAATTATAATACAAAAGGTTTAAATAAATAATACCTCTAGTTAGGTTACAGGTATAGCAACTAATATAGAATCATTAACAGACCAATTAAATTTGATACCAATAATGTATATGTGACTAGTTGTACTTTCTAATATAAAAAGCTTTTTTGAGATCTTGACTGTGAGTTTTTATATCTTAACTACTAAATAAAAAACCCAAATCTCAAAAAAAACTAATTTAAAAAATAAAATAAAATAAAATAAAAATTTATTTTATAATGCTATAACACTATAATGCTAGAATATTGTGACCAAATAAAATTTAAAATCACGTATAATATGTAGATTATTTCTTTGTATAACAAAAATAATAACTTAATTATATCTTAAAATTTTGATTAAAAAATCATCTTTTGTATATTAATAAAAAAAATTTTTTGCAAAATTTTAATATAAACTATGTCTTGCCTAACTCTAACCTTAATCTTAATCTAACTCTAATTAAAAATTTTATTTTTTATAGAAAAAAGATTGTTTTGATTTACATGTTACACCAATTATGTGTTTACATATAAAGTAGCACTATGATACTATCGCACTATAATAATATTTCTTATATATATATATACAGTAGGTAGTATGTTTCTTAATGTTAAAAAGAAAAAATATATAAATAAATAGTTCCAAATTGAACTGAACGTAGATTAAGTTTGTTATAAACTCATCATAAGTAATTTTATGAGACATATATGCATATGTAATTATCATATTTGCAGAAAGATTATGGGTTTTCAAGCAATTTGAATGATACGTAATCTTTCTGCACAATAATAGATTAACTTAGGCGTATTTTTGAAAAAGAAAAATATAAAATCTGTAGAGTATGATTGGAAGATTTCATAACGATCAAACATCGAGTCTTCCGAGAAAATCAACCACTAGATCGATAACTTCCTGAGGTTTTTCATCTTGTGGTAAATGACCACAATTCTCAATTATGCGATATTCCAGTATGGCATTCTCGGGTGCGTCGATTATAATTTCTTCAAAAACCTCTTTATGTTTATTTTTATTTAAATATCTATCATTATCGCCAATTATGTATAATATAGGAAATTGTTGTAAAATGTGCTTATTGGGCAATATTTCTAAAGGAATGAAATATTTAAACAACCATGAAATCGCCTCATAAAAGTTGGGAAAGGTAAGTGGAACGCGATAGCTTGGTTTGACCACGGTCTCCCATCCTGGTATAGCATCGACATTATGATAAATCCGCATAAGGGGGAGGTATTGATATAATGCGGCTTTAAGAAATAACCGTCCTGGTGCTGAACCTAGAATATGACACGCTACTGGGGGTGGGCCTATGTACAATACTATCAAATCATGTGCAACATTATAATTACAAAATTACAAATTTAACGTTAAACAGTGTCTGAAACTGGGTTGCGGAGCTTGTGGATCGCAAGCGACTTATAAGTTTCCGCTGAAATGCATATGCGGTTCAGCAGGTGAATTTTACATATAGATCAGGGACGGTGAATACTTCCATTCCGATATAAATTGATCAATCAGAGCTTACATCTAGCACTATATGCAAGTTTGACTGGTCAATTGATATTGAATGGAAGTATTCACCGTTCATGATATAGATAGGGATGCCATTTTCACCTTTAAAACATGTGATGTTTAAACTAACAAAAAATTAAAAATTGAATTTCAGACACTGACGTTAATATTCTTAACAGTTGCGTACCTTGATCTTCTGATCTCAATGTAGAGCCAATCAAAATTAAAGAATGAACTAAGTGGGGATATTTAATAGCAATTGAACAAGATATGGCTGAGCCGGCAGAAGAGCCGATTAATATCACTTTTTTCGCACCATATCCCAATTTTATTAACAATTGGACTGCAAAATCCACAGCAGCAATTTGTGTGTAGGGGTTTTTGCCTTCTTCCCATTGAATTGGTCTCTCTGTGAAACCAAATCCCACCCTATCATAGGAAATAACGTGACAACCCGTAGCATTGGCCAATGGCTGCATTTGAAGCCTCCATGTATATTGATTTCCTAGAAAATGATGAAGGCAAAGAACCACGGGTTTATGAGGTTCGTCCGAAAATTGTTGATTTTGAAGTAAGGTTTGATGGTACTGTGGAATTGCTATTTTGTAATATGTCTGAATATTTTCAACATCTACGAAGTGGCCTTCAGGATCTGATTCCGCAACAGATTGGAGAAAGACTCTCTGTATTGAAGGAAGGGACATTATGCGTTATCCCAGATGATCTTCAGTAAAAGTATGAAAAAATGTGCGAAATAACAGTAAAACAAGATAATCTTATGAAATAATAAAAAAAAAGGTGAATATGATTTTATAAATAATTTTTGTCTTTGTAATCTGAATAATAAATAACCACAATAAATTGTGTAAAAAACGGAATAATTTTCCGTATAACTTCCTGAACCAATAAAACATGTATTTTAAGCATTTCTTCCCCAATATGGAATGAACTTTCGCCACATAAATAGAAGAAAGCGGCTCTTTATGTATTGTAAGAAAATTTGTCAGCATGTGCATTCCATATTAAGAAACTGACATAATATCGTTTATAGATGTGCAACTTCAATTTTCGAGTTTAAATATTATTGTAAAATGGGAATTAGTAAAAATTATTTCTCTATAAAATAACTGTTAATGGATTTAAAAAACCAAGAAATTAAAATTAGTGATTTTTTTAATAAATTTCCGTTAACGGATTTGCAATTAACAATAGTGGTAGAGATAGGAGTAATTCTAAATATTACACGATCTGCAACTTGAATCGTAAATATCAGAATTTGCGTTATTAAAATTATAGATTGAGGAATGAAAAGTTAAAATAAATTATTTTTCTTTTTTGTCTTTGCATTATCGTCGTAATTATCTTCATTACCCTCCCTCTAGTAATAGCGTTATAATAAATATTATCAATTCTCAATTACACCAACACTAATCTCTCCAAAAACGCAATTTTTGACATGGGATGGCCGATCGATCGATATAGATTACATAAGACACTGTGTGTAAATTATGCTGCATCCGAATCTGTAGTGATGCCGTGTTACAAAAATGTCGTAATCGCATGTCTTTGTTAATAACGATAATACTCGCATATTCCTGTAATTTTGACCAATCAAATTTTAACCAGTTACATACGGAGTTTAAGTGTAAAGGGTACGTAGACCATTTTTCATACGATCTTTGTGATACAATGTGCTTTTTACAAAAAATAAAACTTTGCTACTAATAAAATTTTTTACAATTAATTTTTATTAAATTTTTATATAATATAGAATAAGATATATTCTTTATAATAGTAAAATTTTTAATAGATAAAATATTTTAAAAAAACTTACTTGTATATATTGCAAAGTTCTTTATAGTATTTTCAAATTTTTTGTAATTACACAAAATTGTTAACCTTGATTGATCAAAATTATTTTGAATATTTTCAAAATTTTCTTCATTTAAAAAAATATCATTAGCAATATTTTTATATTTATATAAAATATTTTTTAATTCACAAAAATATTAGTATTAAAATTTTTTTTTTTTTTTGTTAAAGGCTATACTTGTAGCGATACTTTATTGACTTTATATCAGGTTAGCTATTACAACTATTTATATAGAGATAAGAGTACAGCTAGTCATATGTGTAACTTTTGGTTGCCTATTTAAGTAGTCCACCCTAAGGTTCTATACTAGATGTTATACCTATAACCTACTAGAAGATTATTTATTTAAACCTTCTGATCATTTGTTCTGTCATATTGGAATCTCTAACTAACCTCCCATATATACTTAACCAGTATACTGTCTGAGCAGTATGGAACCTACCTTTTTTGTACTAGTTTCTAGGTCATTACACATTTCAGAATATGTTACCTGCCAGTAAGGCGCAGGGGGCTTCCTGTTGTTAACTATTTATCTACTTTTAGAACACTAACACAGGTTAGGGGCCTACAAATTGTCTATTTTTGAGACCTAGCCCAGCCCGCAATTAGAGTTAAAAATTTTTTTTAGACCTGGCCTGGCCTGTATTTAGAGTTACCATTTTTTTGCTGACCTAGTCTAGCTCACATATGTTAAATTTTTTCTTTAGCCTGGCCTGACCTGGCCTGGCTTGCAAAAATTTATTATATAATTTTACAAATTTTCAGGTCTGCACTGGCCTGCAATTATAAAGTTTTGCAAATTTTTCAGCCTGGCCCAGCCCGTAATTATAAAATTTTGCTTCAGGGCTGGGACCTAACGCAGGCCTTTAATACAGGTTACCTTTGCAAAGTTTATCCAGACCTCAGTACTGACTTCACAGCATATTCCTAGTACTTTTAGTATACCCCTGCTTTGAATCCAAACTTCCAATCCAGATAGCCCAGAAGGACTGTGACCTGTTCTTGATATATTAAAACTGGCCCAATATCCTTTTTTTCCGATCTGAAATCCGGTGGTCTGGTTAGTAGTACCCCTCACCCAGAGTTCTTGCCTGCCCGAATCTTTCACATTAGTATCTATTTTCTAGGTCTAGTCTTTACAGTAGTATCATTGAAGATTCGGGTTACCTCTTTGTTCAGAATTTCTAAGTAAGCTCTGGCTTCTCAGTTTTACGGATTTATACAGGCCAAGAACTTATTTTAGATTTGCACTGCCTGGTACTGGTTTGTATTCCTTTGTGTAACAGGTTACACAAACACTTCAGACCTGTCAGTCATGTTGGTGTGACCATAGTTACAGGTATCCTATCCCAACTGATCGACAGAATGCTGTCACCATAATACCGTCTATATATTATATAAATGATTATCTAAATTTTGCTGTCAGTGGGTTTTGAACTCACAACCTACTACTTGGGAGTATAATAACTTATCCACTTCACTAAGTCACCACACCTCTAGTATTAAAATTAATTTTAAAATTAATTGAAATATTAGTATTGTTAGCTAACTCAAAGAATATATCTTTTAAATTATTAAGTATAATATTCTTATTAGATAAATTAAAAGAACTTATATTATTTTTAAAAGATTTTAAACAATTTTAAAAATTAATATTTTCAAATAAAATTTTTTTAGATAAAAAATCATTATTATTTTTGAAATATTTCATTAATATTTAAATAATTATAAATATTTTTAGAAGTTTGTTAAACAATACAATTTTTATCATTAACAATATAAATATATTTAATCATATGTTTATTTAATCTATTTTTAGAAGCAAAGATATAGTTATAAAAAAAACATTTGAAATTAGATATTTTTAAGTTTATAAGATATTAGTATATAATATACTATGGCTCAAAAACTCAATAGAACAACTTTAAGCAATTATTCAAATAGCTGCATTCTTCTATACAATAGCTTATATAAAAGTCAACCCATATAAATCCTTTTTAAGCTCAAATACCAAATCTACTATACATATCAATTTTATAAATTAATTGATTTAATCACAACCAAACAACACTCTTTTTAAATTCCTAGACTGTTGATTTACAGCTGCTCTATAATATGCAACACAAACTAAACTAATACAACAAGAAACACTTAGACTCAACAATATATTTACAACTAAAAATATTAAAGACAAACAAGCTGCTTATATTATCAATACTGTAATTATTCCAACCTTAGAGTACTGTATACATAACATAGTACTATCATATATAATATGCAACCAAATCATATCACAATACCTTATCACAGTGAAACACAAAGCTAAATTTTTGATATCTATACCAAATAGTATACTATTTAATTATAACATATATAGTATTAAAAACATATAAGATATTCTAGTACAAAATCATATATCAAAATTTCAACTTTGTATCAATAACTCAAGTTTAATAGGTATTAGTACTCATATTTGACTTCAACAACTGCAAAACAATTTATGATCAACAACTAATATCTTATAACATCTTCACCTATATATAGATAGACTTAACAAAACACAACTACTTATAAAATAATACAACTGCTTAATAAATTTTAGCTAACTTTTCTAACCAACTCTAATATTCTTAGACCCTATACAATTTAACACTCATATACACCAATTGAACAATTTCTTACTACACATATACTTTATATACAATTCAAAAAACAACTATATACTAAAGAGATAATGTATTTTGAACAACTAACATTATATAATAACTTCATATTACTTGACTAGAAACATATATTCTTAAGATTTCAACATATACCTAAAGGTTATAAGCTATTATGGTTTACCACTTTAGAAAACACAATCATTGCTAATCCTCAATTCAGATCAATTAGTTTCCAATTACAATTATCTTACACTAACTCTATTTCATTTACTACTAGACACTACAAAAATATATCCAAACTTTAGATAATTGCTTATGATTATAAATATAACAATATTACTATAGGCAAAGCAAGAAAATACAACCAAACAGAAGATACAATTTCTATAACACATTGGCTAATTGACTTTGATATCTTACATACTTACCTATATTCTTTAGTTAACTATATCTGCAAACAATGCACAAGGTGCTATTTCAATTCCAATCATATACAAAACAAATGCATATTCAATATTTCTATCAACTTTATAACCAAATTCCTAGGCAGAAAAGTTACTTTCAATTTCTCTATCATACTTAATCTTTATACAAATTTACTTGATCTATTATATTCTATTGTATTACAAAACCCTATTACAATATCTTCACAATCTAATATCATTATATACAATAATGCTATACCTGATATCTTTGTACAAAATTAAGCTACAAAAATTCTTCAACAAATTGTACAAAACAACTCATACTACTCACAGTTTACATTTTATACTGATGACTCTTTAAGCAATATTACCAATGACAGATGCAAGATGGATATTAGTTGGATTCAAATTCAAAATAAGACTATATTGCATCAATATTTAGCAGAAATTAAACTTTGGCTCTCATTATACAAAGCAAAACTTACAGCAATCCTTTTCACTGTTAGCACATGCCCAAAACAGAATACTATTACTATTTATACTAATTCATAATTAATAATTTCCAAATACAATAAGCTCATACAGTCACTATTTACACCTAACAAAATATATTCTTTTAACTACTAACCAATATGATACATACTTCTAAACTTTATCACTGCATATCAAATTCAAATTAATTTTCAAAAAGTAATTGTATACAGTAGTAATATGCTAAATAACATAGCTGACAAACTAGCTAA